GTAGATCGTCAAAATGAAGAGCAAAGGTGTTAAGATTTTTTTTGGTTAGCCGGCAACAATTCTATAATCTATTTTTCGCATCCAATGGCCACTCTTTCCTCCTCTTTCCTTCAAGCGTTAGCTGTTTTGAACGTCAGCATCTTTTTTTTTCTGCATATTTGATGATGCCTCCATAAAGCAACTTCGACTTTGTGATTTCCAAGCTGCTATTGTGCCAAGGTGCTGGAGAGAGTGTGAATCCTGTGTATGACTACAGTCGAGTAGATTTAGCGGTAAATATAGTGTGCTTGCACGGAAGGTGAAAGCGGTAAAATTGGCGCGTGAAGAAATAGTTTCGACTATGACGCCGGCCAATTGCGCGCGCTAGATACCTGCGGTACTGACGTGGCTACTTGTTCACGCGCAAATTTCACCGCATTTCACCTTCTGTGCAAGCACACTATATTTACCGCCAAATCGGTATGCGGATTTATGCGGTATTCGAATGCGGTATTGCGAGCATTTACTTTGGACGAAGTTTGATTAGTTTGAAACTTTCATAGACAATATCTTTATTCATTCTCCAAGTTCCATGATCCATCGAGAGAAAATGCTCTTGAAAGCTTTCACTTTTGGTAAATACTTTTGCCCAAAAGGAAAACAGCAGGGCGAACATGGCGTCCATGGAAAGGACCGGGGCTCTATGGGGCACGAAATTTTTTCTAAAGAACTCCAAGGGCTCACCAAAAAACTCTTGGGAAAAATCTTTCAGGTTTTTTTCTCACTGAGAAATTCCTACTTTTGCCCAAAAAGAAAAGAGCAGGGCGAACATGGTCCCCTTGCAAGGGGACCAGGGACTTGATGGGCGCGAAATTTTCGAAGTTCCAAGGTGTTGCAAACTGATTTTGAAATTTGTCGAAAGAACTTTTAGGTTCTTTTTTCACTGAGGAATTCCCACCTTTGCAAAAAGAAAAGAGCAGGGCGAACATGGATCCCTTGCCAAGGACCAGAAACTTTATGAGCGCGAAATTTTCGAAGGTCCAAGTTTTGCGAACTAATTTTGAAATTTGTCGAAAGAAATTCTAGGTTTTTTTCCTCATTGAGGAACTCCTACCTTTACCCAAAAAGAAAAGAACAGGGCGAACATGGACCCCTTGCAAGGGGCCAGGGACTGATGGGCGCGAAACGAAATTCCAAGGTTTTACAAACTAATTTTGAAATTTGTCCAAAGAACTTTTAGGTTTTTCTGAAGAGTCCCATTTTGCCCCAAAAAGAGAGGAGCAGGGCGAACATAGTCTCGCTGGCAGAAAAAACCAGAGATTTTGTGGGGCACGTAAAGAACTCCAAGGGCTCACAAGCAGACTGCTTTCAGGTTTTTTCCTCACTAAGAAATTCCCACTTCTGCCCGAAAAGAAAACAGCAGGGCGAGCTTGATCTCCTTGGAAGGGACCAGGGACTTTATGGGCGCGAAATTTTCGAAATTCAAAGGTTTTACAGACGGAGTCTGATATCTGTCGAAGAATCTTTTAGGTTTTTTTTCTCGCTGAGAAGTTCCTACTTTTGCCCAAAAAGAAAACAGCAGAGCGAACATGGTCTCGCTGCCAGAAAAGGCTAGGGAGTTAATGCGGCACAACTTCTCCCCGAAAAAATCCCGAGATTCAAACAATTTACAAAATCTGCCGAAATATGCTTTCGGATTCAACTACACTGTGCCCCCTAGAAAGAAAAAAACAGGGCGAACTTGGTCTTGCTGGCTGGAAGGAGAGGGACTTTATGCGGCAGGACTGCTTTAAAATAATTGTGGTCACAATAGAACTCAAAAAAGAAAATACCCTTGGGTTCTTCTGCCTTGAGGAATCCTACTGTTGCTTCCTTCCCCTCCCCCCTCCCTCCTTTCGAACCTGGTATGAAAGACGGAATGACTTATACTTATTTGCGAGCTATTCCCAAAGAGACTGTTTTCTTTGGAAATATTTTTGTAAAATTTGGTGAGAACTGCTTTCAATGGATTTTTGTACTTGAAGGTAACCCAAAGGTTTTTACTGCGAAATTGTCTTGCAGGAAATTCTTGCACTCGATATAATTTTTTACTAAACACTCTGGAAGATTCCACTTTGGCAATGTGCAAAGCTCAATTTCGCTGGAAGAAACGACTTGATAATAATTGCAGCAGAACACGAAATATCTTTCGCAAATAGTTTTTGCAATTTTTTTGACTACTCTGAAAAATCTTCTTTTGTCCTTAGCAATGAGAAGTGCAATTCCGGTCTCGCTGGCAGCTCGACAATCCGACTGTACAATGCTTTTATGATTACAATTCTACTGTAGAATGCTTTTGCGAAAGAAGTTTTTTCAAGCTTGATTTTTTGGAAATCGTCAAATACTGTGAAAAAATTTCACTTTGCTCCCAGGATTGCAGTGCAAACTTTGGTTTTGCTGGAAAGCGCTATTCAATGGTTTATGAGACAAGAAAGCATTACTAAGACCTTTTCATTTTGCTTTTGATGCTTTTTTGCATGGTCTCTTACGGATTTAGAAAACGAATCTTGTATTCTTTATAAAAAGAAGTTGTCAAGAATATACTGGTACTTCTCACAAAGGGAACGAAAGGGTACCTAAAGGGTCCCGCGAAATCTGGAAGGTCACTTTGAAATGGTGTCTGAAAGTGAGGGAATCTTACAATTTCAGTTTGGACTATCAACAAGAAAGGGGTTTCCGCCTCACTTCTGGCCGGATTTCCTAAAACTTAGAACAACATGCTTGCACTGTTTGATTTCGAGTGGGAGCAGGCCTTGTCACTTTTCGCAGGAACGCCTCAGAGCCTCAAAGAAATTGTATGCATGGATGGATTTTGTAGTATTATAGTCTCTGTTTGTTTAGTAAGAAAACTGAAGGATGCTCAAGGGGCTTCGTTTTTTGACAGAAATTCAGAGTTGTAAGAAACTTGAATCTTTTGTTAGAACTTTTAACCGTATCGTATCAATCGTACCCTTGCTTAAACTTTAGGGGAGCGCACTTCAATTTTGATCACTTTGCTGAGGAAGGCTTGTTTGTGAAAAAATGGCAGAACTTTCCGAATAACCCATAGGTAATCCGATATAACTTTGGTCAGACTATTAGTGCTCAAAAACAACGCCGCATATTTTCAATAGTCTCGTTTGTTTTTGCGTAAGCTGCAACATGAAACAGATAGTTCTTTTTCAAATGTGTATGTTTTGAAGGTCACCGTTTAGTAGTATCCACTGTTTACTGTGGAAACTGGACGCTTTGAAAAACGAGAGCCTATTGTTAGTGTGCAAATAAGTGTAGCCTTGTTTCAATATATTGGCCTCAACCCACTTGCTAGCGGCCCGTAGGGTCGCTAAAGATAATACTGGTTTGTAAGCGGCACGTAGGGCAATTTGCTCGGACGGGGTAACAAATTATTTTACGTTTGTGCAGTTCTTATGGTTGACGGTCTTTAGGTGGCTCAGTAGTCGTGCTTTTCGGAGAGGGATCTCCTTTTGTAGTAAAGCTACATACTCCGGCGAAAAAAATTAAGAATTCTCTGACAGAGTTCTTAGACGATTGATTTCTTTGCTGTCGGAGTTGATTTTGAGAAAAAAGTGTTTTTTGTAGTACACATAATTGTTATGGGTGTATCTCTACTTTTAACCGATAGGTGTTCTGCTATTTACTTAGTGATCTTTTATGGAACTTGTTGAGAAGAACTGATCTTTTATGAAACTTGTTGAGAAGAACTGGAAGAGCAAATTCTCTTTGAGAGGGTAGAAAAGTGGGGTTCTTTTTTATATGAATGTCTCTGTGAGGAGGGAAATTTGCAGAAAGAGCGTGGTAAACGAGAAAAAATAATATTCTCCATGCACGGTTGTAACAGGAATTTCGAGAAATGCTGAATGATTTGTGGAGATCATAACTTCTTCGAGCAGTTCTCCTTTTGTAGAATGCTTTTCGCAAAAAAGTTCTCAGAAAAGAAATAGAAAACTTATTTAATATTTATAGTCACAACTACCCTTATATTGTATCTGCCCCGATCCACTTGCTAGCGACCCGTAGGGTCGCTAGTCCCAATATCTATTTAGGATAAGAAGTGCGTGACTTACTACAGCGAAAACTCAAAAATGAAAAGATTTACGGATAATCTAATACGCAACGATTGAGACCTGAAGGTTGATTACAAACGAATCTTAGAATCTATGATGACTTCTGACAGTTTCGCTATAACTGTTTAATCAGGTTTTTTAACAGAAAAATAATTGGAACGAATTGATGTTCCAAAGATTTTTACCAGAATCGGATAAGATGAAATACATCAACGACCTAGTCTTTCAAACACTTCACTAATCACAGAGAAAAGCCAATGCTTTACAAAGGACAAAAATTACTACCGAAATGCAAAACCAAGCTACTGCTCTTTGACAAAGATACAATGTTCTACATCCGAGACAAAAATTGTTTCAAGGCTTCAGTTGTTGTAACTTAAAGCACATGTTAAGCTGCTACATAAATGCTCTTTCATCTTTGTTGTAATAAGTTTTGCTTATACGATTTGCTACTATAATAAGATCATAGGTTAATGTGAGATGATGTAAGCTTGTTTTAGCGGTTTCCAACATTTACTGTTTTCTTAGATTAACAACATTATGAAGGAATACGCTAAGCCTTTACATAAACTATAACAAAGTCCTTCTGTCTCTGCCTTCTTGAAGAGGCCGATGGCGCCATTGTCTCATGATCATAAACGATACTGACCCCGTAAAACGTAATCCTCGATTCGCTCGTTTACATGAATGGGACATAATTCCAAGTGAAAGCAGTTCAGTGCCAACTTCGCAGCAGAGCATCAAGCACAGCCAGCAACGGAGGAGCCCTGTGCTGCTTGATGTCGTTCTCGGCCGACTCCGCCTTGCTGACGATAATTCGTCTCATCAAAGTGACAACTCTTGGTCCGCCCCACCGCTTTTTGGATATTTAAACTTCCACTGTGAAACTAGTGCTTTGCTGAAGTCTAGAGTGCAGCGATGCGTCTGAAAGTCGCGTTAGAAGCACTTCTACTTTTCTGTAAGATTTTATTATTCAATGAATATTATCTCTGACTTAATTTGATCATTTTAGCTTTTAACGAAATTGCCTTCGCTTCTGTGAGTCCTTCAAAGTTGGAGGACCTGAAGAATGTGGCAATGTCTGAGAAAGAGTTTAAGAGAGTGCAGCAGCTGCATTATAGTTGGTACATCCAGGCCATAGAAGCCCTCCTAGGAGCTATGGGTAAGGAGTTGTACACGAAGATGGACAGGTAAGAATGGGCGACAGAGACTTGTATGAGACTTGTTTTCCTCGAATGCGATCTGTACACCCATCTAAAATTGCAGTCAGTGATAGCTCAACGTGCTCTGAACTATGATTAGCATTGATAGGAGAATTTCTTGTAAATCGAAAACAATTGGTTTTTGGTGTGTGGTGCAAGTATGGCGGAAACATACATGAAATTTCAAGAAATTGATTAGAAATGGAAGTGCGAGTTATGGGAGTGACGCATCATTTGTATGGCACTACAATTCAGTAAAGAAAAGTCATCAGTAGAGAAACTCATTCTGCAGACGAGCACATCTTTTCTGCATTCTTAGGAATAATCGGAGAGCGTTTGTGGCATGCTTGGATAATATCGACAAAGAGTACGACCTGCGGTCTGGAGCACGATGTTTAGTAAAGGCATTCGATAATAATTTAGTAAGTCAAAATCTTTCTTGTTCGCGATGCATCAGAGGCACTCGTTTGTTGCCTGCTCATTTCTTCATCAGATCGCCTAATACAGATTCATACAGTTTTTTTTCTCACACAGTTGTAGCAATTTCTCAGACTGGGTAGCAAATCTTCAGCGCATATCTAACAAGGAGAGGATACTTAGTCGAAAGCACCAATCCAGATGAGGCATATATCATCTGGACGTGCTTGGAGCGCTAATTTCAAATCTGGCAAAATCAGCTGCGGAGCGCCTTTGGGCAATGAGTTATGGTTGTTTTTGTGAAGAAAATTTGAAGTCGAGGGAAGAAAAAAACTATACGCAGAAGTCTTCAGCTGGTCTCGAATGGAGGAGTGATATCTGCCAGATTACTCTGCGCAAAGAAAAATGTCTGTCTGCTATACTCACATTTAAAACGAGTCTATCTGCGAAATATACATGTTGTAACAATCAATTTTACTCTCTTTACCCATTCAATTTTTGGCTCTTGAAACGGTCATAGCTCCTCATCCAAAGGCGCTCCGCAGCTGATTTTGCCAGATTTGAAATCAGCGCTCCGAGCAGGTTACGATGATGTATTTCTCATCTGGATCGGTGCTTTCGACTAAGTATCCTCTTCTTGTGAGCATCACTAAGATTTAAATGTAGTCGTACTGTGAATCTGTATCTAGCAAATTTGACATAGAGACAATATAACCGAAACAGACTCTGAAAAATTAAAAATAAATGCAAAACGGATACTTTCCCCTGAGGAATAAAACTGCACGGTTCGTAAAGCAACACGAGATACAACCGAGCCGTGTTATCGTCTCATTGATTATTTGGGGCATGCCAAACAGTGCAGTTCCTCGAATTTCACTTCCTTTGCCAAAATAGGATGTCACAACTGCGCCTTTCTCGAATGAGTCTCGAGTGCAAATTGCTTTTCAACATTTAATCGTGCTGAAACTTTGATTTCGTAGAGATTAAATTTTTGCTGACCCACCACCTATGCTCCGCTTCACAGCAATGTAAGAATTTGTGTCAGTGCTCCGTCTCATCTATTCTTCGTCACTTTTCACTCCAACTAATTCTTTTCCCAGTCTCAGTAAAGTGCATATTTTTAGGTCACGTCATATCCATACGCTCTTTATCGTTCCAACTATGACTTCGTTGGTAATGAGCCGCAGATGCAACGGCACAATGAATCTAAAACGAAGACAGCGTTTGCAACCCCAGACCTGACGTTGCTGAAGCTCAAACTCAGAAAAAGGCACCATCCAAGGCTTAGGCATCGCAAGAAGGACTCAAGGTTAGTCAAATTCTCACAAAATATGCTTATACGTCTGTCAATAAGTGTCACGGTTTGTAATTCTTCACCAATATTGCCAACCTTCCAGCACACTTACACCTTGCAATTAAATGTAAAGGCGTATTGGTTTTATTGGTAACTAGCTGACTTATCCGGCTCTGTCCGGCCCTGTCTCAAAACACTATGATAAAGGTCCTATCCCTATCCCTGTACAACCTTTCCTTGCGCCTTTTACATGCCAATTCCCTATTTCCGCTTTGTTAGTAACTGGCTCACTTCACTCTATGCCAACTCCCAGCCCCGTAGCTCAAACTTTGCAAAAAAAAACAACTATAAAATCGATAAAGGTAACGGATGATTTCAGAGACTAATATTTGTACTCATAATCATCATGCTCGATTTCCTCTGTGCCAACACCCAGCCCCGTAGCTCAAGCTTTACAGAAATCGACTGCGGACACCCGTCCCGCCCCAAAATGTACTATGTGCCAAGTTTTAGAAGGATCGATTCAGAAATGGAATTTTCTATTCGGAACATACGTACACACAGACAGACATACAGACAGACAGACAAACAAACAGACATTCAGCTTTATATATAAAATCTATCTACACTTATTCCTTACAAGGAATGCGTGTTTAGTCGAAGTGGCCTTTCTAGATGGGAGGTACACCATTTAAAGGGCATAAATTACTGATTCCAAATCTGCCTTCCTTATCTGCACAGCGTTTATAAACAAGAGTTATGAGCGCTTATTGGGGGTAGAAAATTGAATGTGCAAGTAGGACAAAAATAGCTATAATACTTTTTGTAGCTCTTTAATGGAGCCGTGATAATCATAAGAGCACTTTATTTAGATAATACTCTCAAATAAAAAAATATGCCACACTTGGTTGCATTATTTGAGGGCTGATATGATTTAAGCAACCCATTTTTTCCAAAATGTATGTTGAATTTTTGACTTCAAAAAACGCTCATAACTTCCCATGCATAAACGCCCTGCAAATAGGGAAGGCAGATTTGGAGTCAGCGTTTTATGTCCTTTTATATGGTATACATTTCATTGAGAAAGGCCACTTCGACTAAACAAGCTTCCCTTATTAGCGAAAAAAGCTTCAGATAGTTGTGACCTCGTCCCTTCACAATACTGGAGGTTACCTGTGTGAAACAGCGGCTGTACAAGAGGGAAAGTGAGCGTTGCAAGCGAAGCAACGTAAGAATGTGTAGAGTGTAACTGACCTAACAATGCTTCATTGGGGATGTAGCACTGGTAACTTTCCAACCAGTCATTAGCGAAAGCCTACATAAAACGAGCATTAACTGATTCAAGAACGAACTAGTGAGAGGTCTACCTTTTGATTAAGCTGCGTCACGATGACTGCCTATGCGTGTACTAACACCAAAGGAGCCATCGGGTAGTCCTCAACTTTACAGGTGTACGCAATCCCGTCGTTCTTCAAAGCCTATCATTATTCTTCCCTTTTCTCTTTTTTTAGCGATTTTCGATGTTTTTCCCCACCACTGCTCTTGCGGGTTCCATACAGTCGTTGAAGGCAGTGGCTCGACAAATCTCAACCTAGTCAAATTCACGCTTACCTGGGGTTATCCAATGCGCTGATCCCGAATATCCACTTTAGACAGCTTGAGAATGGCTAAAAGAGCGTTTTCCAACGCCCTTCTCTTTGGAATTGGACAAGTGGAGGATGGCAAGACAATGAATTTTTGCGGGACCCAATGGTCATAGCGTTGCACTGGGCAGCCTCCTTGCCAATTCGTCCGAGCGCGTGTAAGATTGGCTTGCGCGCGTAAGTTCGAGAGCAATTTTATCGGCAAGGAAGGAATGCTGTGCTACCGGGATTGCACTGTTTTCATACGCAGGTGATAAGCAATCTAGCGCTCGAAATTCTGAGATGTCGAGTTTCGACGATCTGCCTTTAAGTGTCGCAGATTTTTAGTTACAAGTGAACGCAAGCGAGGTGTAAAAGCAAAACCTCCAATCAGTACTGCTAAATAAATGCCATGCAATTTAAGCTATTTGTAAGAAGACGCCATGGAATAAGAGGTGAGAAGGCAGGTTAGGGGTCAAAGGACGACCCATGCAAGCCGTGTGCTCCACACGGGGCACCCGCAACATGCTGCAATCCTCAATAATATCAAAACCGTGCGCCGGTAATGACGTAAAGGCGCTTTTTTTGGAATTTTTGCAGCTTTTTTTCGCAGTTGCGCCACACACACTTTATGCCATACGTGCAGCTATCATATAGTCTTTATGTCACCTTATCACCTCCGATTTGGAAAAATCGCTGCGAAGCCTCAGAAAAGATTATGGAGAAGATTGCACTTTTTTGATAACTATTTTGAAAAATGTAAGCGTTGCGACTTTGTCGTTCCTAATAACAGTAGCGTACAGCTATGTACTAGCATCCAACTAGTATCTGGGACAGCGTCAAAAAACTCAAATCGATCGAAGTTTTTGAGAAATGGTCCTTGCTCAAATAAAATACACTAGGCCGGCTACGTTGTTAGCATGAAAGTAGACTCCAAGAGTTGCAAGATGGTAAGGGTTGGTTGTTGCATGCAAAGCGAAAGTGTCGAAGCCGAGTGCTTAATAGAAAGCGTGTCATCAAGAAGCAAAAATATTCGTCAATTAACACACAGAGTGTCTTTGTCAGATTGTATATAAACAGTTAGATCGTGCTCTAACTGATTCCAGTGAAATCAATCATTCACCAAGCGTCACCGCGGCGCAAAACAGCATGTCCACAGTATTATTAAAAGGTGGTGTCCGGGCAGATTTGAGGGCACCTCATCTAGCCAGGGTCCCTATGCAGACATAGCCCTGTCGCGACCGCAAAATATTGCTCCTGGAGAAAGTAAACATCTTCAAAAGCCCGAACAGAGACGCTTCTTAATTCAGACTCGTTCTTACAAAAGCAGGATCGCTAGAACATGGCAATTGAGAGGCTGTCATTGGCTGCAGCAAGCTGTCCTGCCACGATTTCCTGCTTCAGAGGACGAGGGTGAATTGAGAAGCGTGCCTGTTTAGACTTCCGAAACTGTTTTTTTCCCATTTCAGAAGCAATATTTTGCTTGTTACCGAGCTATGGCGTGCATGGGAAGCCCGCTTTGGTGGCATCTTTAGATTTTGTGCTGCCAACTTTGCTCAGACACTATTTTTTTAAGCTCGGTATCGCTATTAGGACATAGATTTGACTCTCTGTGGTGTGAAAAACATATGCACTAGCATGTATTCCATTCACTGCATATGAGGCACAACCTGAAGTAAACTTCTACCTTAAGGTAGATCTTGAAGCTTTCATGAATACGATTTAGTGATATTTAGAGGTTGTAATTCTACCTCAGTGTAACCCATGAGAATGCTTGTTGTGAATACGGGGCAGTGATGATCCTACCTTGAGGTTACAACCTCAAGGTTCCATGTGGCACAGCGCGAAAAGTGCAAAGTGTCAATGGCGCGTCACCAGATATTTCGAACTTTCACCATATCTATCTTCATTTCAATCTAGCACCACCACATGGAGGCAGTGCTCTGGCAAACTATTTTGAAGATAAAAACTACGAAATTCCTCTGAAAACGAGAAAAAATGCCCGAAAACCAACACTCGACCAACACCAACACATTAAACACTACTTGAGGGTATTTAAATAACGTGATAAACATGAGTTGAGTACTTCATGGCATGGCTAAGAAGGTGTAGTAGCAATCTTCTGGTCACTTTTTCTTTACTGCACTTTTACGCTTGCTTCTTGATGACACGCTTTCTATTAAGCACTCGGCTTCGACACTTTCGCTCTGCATGCAACAACGCAACCTTTACCATCTTAGAGCTCTTGGAGTCTACTTCCATGCTAACAACATAGCCGAGTGTACTTTATTTGAGCAAGGACCATTATTCAAAAACTTCGATTCCGATTTCTTTATGACGCTGTCCCGGAGATAATAGTTGGCTAGTATATAGCTGAACGCTACTGTTATTAGAAAGTGAAAACAAAGATAATCCGAAAATGGCAAAGTCCGTCCTCAGCTCCTCTTACACATGCCATTGCTATAACAAGCCTTAGCAATATTAGGTCGTTCCATAAGTTCGTAGACTTTTCACAAACCAAAGAAGCGGCAAAGTTTTGTCAGAGTTCATCGATGTGCTTTCCGCTGCTGCGCGCAATATTCTGCCTTTTGCCGTCAGATGTTTGACTTTGTTTTTCCAAAACTCAGCAGATCTGTTCCCAAAAAAGTCTCCTAACCAACGTCGATCGTTTCTAAAGTAGGGACAACACCGTTCATACTGTTTGCAAGAGAGCGGGACAAAAGATCTTTTAGTGGGGCGAGGTCTGAAGAGCACATCGGATACTAATATGTATTCCAGTCAAGTCTTGCGACATAGTTTTGACGCCGTTTGCCGTATGAAGCCATATCTTGTCATGTAGAAATCTGCAACAGTCCTGTCTTTTGAGTCATTTTCGCAGTGGGGATTCTTGACTGTGCAATTGGGTGCGTGCAGTGTGATCGATCGTTTTGTTCTTGTCCACCAATTTTCAGTGTAGAACCTCTTGCTCGTCCTGCAAAAGTCTTGTTCGAAGGACACCCTGTGAATTCTGGGTTTCTTTAGAACATTCTCAACCTTTTTTGTCTCAAATTGACGGGAAAGCACCAATAAAGTTCAGAAATTCATGCAAAACTATTTTTTTTGGAAAAATGAGCAAATGTCGAAAACACTTTTTTCTTCATTTAATTTTCATTCGGAAGCTGAGAAATTGAAGCGGGTCAGCTTTTCCATCGAGTATGATCAGCCCTTTCAACGGTGTCTTGCATCTTGCCGCAAAACAATCGCCTTCCAGAGAAACGAGGAGGAGAAGAAAACGGTACGAACTTATGGAACGACCTAATATAATCCAAAATTTTATCTCTGCATGCGCTTTGATAATCGAGAAGCACCAAATCAAACCTAAAAACCCGAAAAAGTGACATTTTTCCAATTTCGAATTATTTTGATTTCTCAACTGTAGAACGACTGAGTCGAAGATCCTTAGGAATTTTTGGAATTAGATCCGATTTTTGAGTAGTCAAGAAATTTTGCTTTCTGGCTCCAAATCTTGACCGATTTACGGAACTACGACTTAGGGGGATCTTTGGAGGCAACTTCGTACTGCTCGTTTTGAGCTACTGAATGGCACCCTAAGTCTGCTAGGAAAACAAAAACAGCTCGTCTTAATTTGAAAAAATGCTTTACTGTGGGACAACCTAGTAATTGCAACACCAAAATCTGCCGTTGGGACATACCACATTAACGCACCATCTTTCGTTCTTTCGACCTAGGTAATCTGTGATGATGATATGATTCTTAAAGTTCGAATCACTCAATCATACGCTTTTCCAGACGCTAAATTAGCGCAGAAATTTTTTCACAAACAAATTTAGGAGTACTTCTGTCATGGTGTTCTCTGGCAATAATCTTTAACCCTGAGAAATTTTGACAAATTTGTGGAACAGCTGTCAGAGGTGGCTTTCTTCTGGTAGGGTAAATTTTGTAGTTTATGACTGTTGCAAGCTGCGCAGAGATAAATAGTTTTCATCAAAGCTTGATTTTTGGGTATAAGCATTGTTTTGCAGCTGATGATACAAATAAATTATCGGTACAAACAATCTACCAGCAGCACATACTATAATACTCCTGCGATGGTCAAATACAAAACCTTGCGCGCAGAGGCACATAAGTCGATTTGCGGTTTAAATGGCACAGCTCAAATTTGAGTGCACTCAAATTCCAATAGCCATAAAGCGTAACTTTGTATTTAATGAAGTCCAAATGCCACGCCCAACCATTTTGAATTATGCTGAGTTCCTTAAAATGCTTTCCTGGCATGACATGGTAGTGTAGACCAGCACATGCTATACTGATTTAGCAAAAAGAGCGCTAAGAGAGATGGGCAATGCCACGGATAAGCATCGCAAACATTCCGCTAATCAGGTAGACATCAACCGCAAGGCAGTTTCGTGAAAACAATTTTACCTTGAAGGAAAAACTCCAGGGTAGCCTCTCGAAGTAAAATGCTCCCCTGAAGTCCGTTGATGAATAGGCTACTGGAATGCCAGAAATAATGTTTTAACGCAGTATATGTGGTTCAAAATTTGCCAGTCATCGAGACATACCAACTTTCTCGATTCAAAGATTTCACAATGCTAAGAATTAGAGTTTTGCTGAGCAGAGTTAGAGTATTAAAAAAGGTATCTAATCATCTAATAGCGGTTATGCAGAGCATTTATCTGAAAAGCTCCAAGTCCTTTCGAACATTATCTATGGAAGAGGCAAGTTGAAGTGTTTCTTTATAATCTACGAGCAAACAGATCTCGTATTTGTCATATCACTGTATCTAGAACAGTCGACGACATGAAGCAGTTACAATACTTTGTAAACTCCTCAGCCAAAAGTTAGTTACAAGCTAGTTAAAGCTTTCTGTAATAAGCAACTCACTGTAACTTTACAAATTTGAGTCGAAGAGCTCGTAACTCCTTTTGATTAAACGTTTCTCAAAAAAGCAAATTTGGAGCCAACTCTGAGAGCGCTTGTAATAATATGCCTTCCGCTTGTCAATGCGAGTTGTATGTCCTTCTCTTACAAGTATCTCTTCGTTTTGTGCTGATACCTGTTATCGCCAGTCTATCCAAAACCAATTTTTGGGACGTTAATTGACTGATTTCAGCTGAAGGGGAAGTTAAAAAGGGACTTGTATTGTCATTTTAGAGCGAAAACAAGAAAGATGCGGAAACCTTTTCAATATTTGCATGCGAATGTTCGGCGACATAAACCAGTCAAAAGGGAGATTCGTGGGGTGATATTCCCAAGCTCACCGCGACTAAAACGACGTTCCAAAAGAAGTTTATTTACTTTTCCCCAGCAGGTACTAGTATTTGATTTGTAGACAATAGGCCTCGTTTACTATGTTATACTAGCTTGCAGGAAGCAGTCGTCACTGAGGATAAGGATTTGGATGATGCCAGTAATTTCGCCTTTGAGCGCGTAAACATGAAGTCAATGCCACCTCTGGCCACTGAAAAGAGGACATTTATCAAGGTAATCTTGTCGGTAACCAAACATCTCCTTTCTCTGCTTCATCCATTTCGTCAATATCAAAGCACTTCCATAAAATAGCAGCATTCTCAATGAAACTAAGTGAGCGATTGTCAAGAAATTTTCCGGGCAAACAGGCAACTCTTCCAAATTGCTGTTTCGGTTCTTTCGCTCGTCTGCCTATGTGTTTTGTAACAACATCTGCTGATAAATGGACCAGAATTTGGAGCTGAATACTTTTTCTTTTGTGGGTTACGAGTACGACGATAATCATTGCCAAAATGTGCGCTTTTTGACAGACATCTATAGTTCATTCAGGTTATTAGACTAAAGCTACCATGCAGAATGACCATCATTTGTGCAGTGCACGTCGGGCACTTCTTCTCCATACACGGAGATTCAAGTAACTTTTTAGCAAAATGTGACTGGATTTTTGTTCTCTCCTTGCACTCATCGTAATCCTTACACGATGGTTAAATGCGGAATAACAATAGCTGCAATCAGTCCGCGGCTCATTTAAGTTAGGCAGCGGTGTGTCCGATGAAAGATACATGGGCAGCGTGCCATGCTGAAATCTCGAAAACCGCGATAACTAAAGTTGAGATTCTAACAGTGAGAAACGGCGCGCCGTGTAACACGTTTCGAACCTGCGAACTCAGGGCCAGCGCCAGGGCCTCGGCAAAAAGGAACATTTGGAAATTTAATATGGTAGATTGCTTTGATTGTAAATTGCAAGGACCCGTCAAATATAAAAACAGAGCAAGTCCGATTGCAAAGCTCTCACCCTGCGTGCAAGCAAGTTTTGTGCCCGCTTGGACAATTAGTGGTATTGACCATTGTTAAAAGTGAAGTCAAAGCAATAAGGACTCCACAGCAACTCTGCGTTCCCAGCGCTGGCGGCAACTGTTACACTCGCCCAAAATCAAAATGAAAGATCCGAAGGATATGCTCGTTTTTGTCATCCCCACTCTTCAAATTGGCTTCCATAATCAGCATGTTCGATAACCTCAAATAAGCTAGGATTCTCTGTGCTGAAAATTTGCTGAGGTACTGCCTTTGACGATGCAAATCTCTGAAATGCCTGAAGTAACCCTGAACATTTGTGCGACTCAAGATCTTCTCTCAATTTAGTCGTCATTCAAAACGCCCAGAGCAGCAACTAGGTCGTCTTAGGGAATATAATGATTCAGCGACTTAAGAGGCAATTCTTTCTAGGCCCAGCACGAGGGTAACAAACAGGGCTTGGCACGAGATGGCTAGTGGAAAATGCAGAAAGCTACCTCCTCTTTGACTTTTGCTAATTTTTACGAAGTCTCCTTTGACCCTGAATCCTAATACCTAAAAAAATCTCCAAAAAACGAAATGTCGTCTAAAAAAAGTAGCAAATTTTGTGTCTTTTCAGTCACACAAACGAAACACTCTTTTCTTTTTGTCCCAAATACGATATTCAGCTTGATTATAAGCCACCTATGTTCAGCCCTGGTAACAAATAAACATTGGCGAAACATTCTTCGCCTTTGCCACTATTGATTTTTAGAATTTCCCGCTTGATCCCGCCAGCAGCGTAAGTTGTTCAATTGGAGCGCGCTCTTTTTTCACAAAGTACCGGCGCCATTACTATTCCGGATCCTAACAAAGAGGAGAGGAAGACTTTTGGAATCAAAATGTAACTGTATAAAGTTTGGGTGTAGAACAGATTTATTTTGAAAGATTTTGAAAAACTTACGTGAAATGGAAGTTTTGCTTACCTCAGTTGGGCATTAGGTGAGAAATTGCCACCTAATTTGGAAAAAAGTTGAGCACGCTCTTTACCCACATAAGTTCTTCATAATTTTTCATGCTTTGTTCCTCAGTCCCGCTGCGCGTACACAGACCAAATTTCGTGCCATATCGTCATTTGTGCGTTGCAAACAGGCCATTTCTCCATTTTTTGGTAATGGAAAATTTTCAGAAAAAAGCTCGCAACTTTTATTCACATGTTTCATAAATTTCTGAATCAACTCCTACAGACGTGGGTCCATATACAGTCGAGTAGATTTTCCGCTTAATATAGTGTGCTTGCACTGAGATGAAATGCGGTAAATTTGGCGCGTGAACAAATAGCTGCGCTCGTGACGCCGGCCAATTGCGCGCGCAAAAGGTTGGCATCACTGGTATGGCTACTTGTTCACGCGCAAATTTTGCCGCATTTCACTTTCAGTGCAAGCACACTACATTAAGCGAATCTACTCGACTGTATGTAGCAAGTTTTGTAACGCAATATCGCCACCTGTGCTCTGCAAATGAGCCATTTTGATTCACGTCTTTATTCCAGTCATGAGAAATTATGGAAAATAAGCTTACAACGCCATCCATTCATATAACTTTCATAATTTTCATACCTTGTCCCCACTAGCCTAGGTTCGTTCATGTGCGCAATTTGGTGCCATGTTGTTACGCATACATTGCGGCTCGGTTGAACGAGGTTAAGCATGTGACAATCAGCGACAACGCGATTTGACGGCAAAAGCCAAGAGCCAAGAGTCTAGATTCGTTTGCCATTTCAACTATAATTTTCCCGGGACTTAGCCTCGCGCAAAAACGATGTCATTTGCTTTTTCACATGTTCTGGAACTGTTCTTGCACAGTTCTCGCACTGTGCTGGAACTGTTCCGGAACTGTGTTGCAGCCGCCCCGCACCGTTTTGCACGGCGGGAGTTAAAGACTTTTGACCGTTTCCAACGTTTTTCTTCCGTAATTTTCTCATTTTGGCCTTATTCCTCTACCCCGCTCCCTTTTTGATCAGCAGAACTTCGAACTCGAAGCGGGGTTGAAGAAGGAGCGCTTTTTTGCTCTGCGTATCCGACAATGTCTGTTCTTGCGCTTGTCCATTCTCGCTTTTCCTTCTTGCCCAAACCTATTCATTTGTTTCAGGAGTTTCCGCTGCGTATTCTGCAGGCATCTTTCTTGGATTAGGCCATGCGAACATTCTGAAAATGCGGAAATGGGAACTTTGCTTTTGTTTTCTGTTGAATTTCGTTTTCTGGCATTCTCAGCTCCTTCCCTTTTTCCATATCGTTGCTTCTCCGTTCTCTCTCCTACTTGCTTCTCCTAGTGATGAAAAAACTGCGAGCTTGAAGCGGAGCTAAAAAGACAACGCTGTTCTCTTTCATATGCATGTTCCGGATAAGTAGAGAAAAGAACAACGTTCATTCCTTAACCCCGCCTCAAGTTCACAGCTTTTCTCATCACAGGTAAAGAGGTTTAAGGCCAAAATGAGAGGATTTTGAAAGAAAAACCGTTGAAAACGGTCAAAAGTCTCCAACTCCTGCCTTTCAAAACGCGTGCGGGGCGTTCGCAGCGCATGCATCACACTTCCGAAACAGTTCCAGCACAGTGCGGGAACTGTGCGGGAACAGTTCCGGAACTTTGTATTTGGCGCACACATTTCTGGCACGATGTCGATCATGTCTTGTGCTACAGATGCAGCCATGCTCTGCGTTCTGCCTTCTCAGTGTTTCCAGACTTGGCAAAAATTTGGTATGAGGGCCCCTGGACTTGCCCCGCTTTAGAATACCGTGATGAAGCCATGCTTTTTGCTTATTCAATTATCAGGGACAAGAAGTATGAGAGTCCGGCGTAGCCGGACGATCATACTGGTCATCGAATATACCTAGTAAAAGATAGGCTTGCGGGTTGTTTGGCCAGAATGAGCGTTTAGGGTTGGTTCTACAACTAAAACATCCAAATCAAGTCAATGGCCACTTGCGAAGGCACACGCGAAAGAGGAAAACTTGCTCCAGACCTAACGCAAATAATTTACTTTACGTATTTGGTGTCCGCCCAAAGTACTGTTGAGCTCTGAGACCCGTGTGCTCCCCGTATAAAGGGGCTGTTGTGTGTATGGGGCTGTGGGCTCAATGTTATTGTTAAAATTACTGATGCGAAACGTCGCTGCGCTTTTTATCATTGGGGACGCCGCTCTCCTCACCGCAATAGTTTTCAAGCATGTCCTGAGCTCAAGTATGCAGCGTTTTTGCAGCATTTGGCTAAGAGCTTCCTTCAAAAAGAGGATTGTGATATGTTTAACAGAATTCAGAAAACTCCACACTTTATCAAGCAGAAACTTCTAACGATTCTAGGCCTTTTCTGAATAGTGAGCTCTGCCGCGTAAAATCAAGGGTTTGGTGTCTCCGTCTCAGCGTCTGTCAGTGCCCTCTCTTTTTCTAACAGTTATTATAACTAAGACTCCCCGAATAATGCTGATCATCACCAATGAAATGTAAACAACTATCCATTGCAAAGGTTCTACCACATTAGAGCGGTAACTTTGTAGAAAAGAACTTTTTTCAAGAAATAAATTTGATTTTCAATAACTTACTGAGGTTGTAATGATTAACATGAAGGCGGCAGCTACCACATACCACATCTCTGAGCAAAAATCTCCTCGGTTTTACATGAGTTTCCTTAGAAAATATGAAAGAAAGCTGAGCTATCTTTTTTGGCGTCTCTTTCATAGAGAATTGAGATTTTCGAACAATTTTATTCCTATGCTCATGCTCAATAGGGTCTTCAACAGAACCAATCACTGACCACCAAAATCGTGGAAATTTTCCTTCAATTTTCTTCATTAGAAGCTATGTGGACCCGCTTTACGTGCGAATTTCAAAGGAACGGTGCATTGGTTCCGCTCGTCCATGCACATAGTGAACCTACATGCTAAGAGCGTATGCTGTGCAAAAAATCGGCTTGAAACCTTGGTTGTAGCTCGCTCTGTGAATTGTGCGTGCGTGCGTGCGTCAGAGCCAGTGCGTAGAGCCAGTAGAGCCAGTGCGTCGCCTCTGCTTCGCACTGGCTCTACTATTCACATGCCTTCCTCGTTGTCCCAAAATGATGGCTTTGAAACTTACCTCGCGATGCCGATCATCACGAATGAAGTGTAAACAACTACTCATTCCTAAAGCTTTTTCATGTAAGATTGGTGTCTTTGAGGGAAAGAAGGTACTCTCCAAAAGATTAAATGCGATTCTGAATCAGTTACTGGGGTTATAATGGCTTGATAGTCGCCATAAAGATGACGACAACCCTGAGTGACATCACTGAGCAAAAATTTTCTCACATTCCCAAGTAAAACTTTGACAAATCGATCATCTACGCAATTACTCTTTTTTGGCGCCGATCTTGCATGGAAGTGAACTTTTTGCTCACTTTTCGGGCTGGAGTCCATGGTTTGCGGATTTGCTTGCTAAACGAAACCATGACTTTGGAAAAAGTCCAATTACAGGCCCACTTTGGCGCGCGAAATGTCGCGTGGATCCGTTTGGCGCACAATTTCACAGGTTCCAATTATTGGATCGGCTTGTGCTTTTGCACATTTTACCTACATGCTGATAGGGTGCTACTACCAAAATTCTAGCGCAAGACCTTTGCTGGAACTCGCTCTACGAATTTCGTGACAGACAGAGATTCAGACACACACACAGACAGACAAACGTAAACAACCCTTAGCCCGTTATTATAATCAGGGATACTCGGACAAATTGCAAAGCATGTTCAAAGAGCTATGGTGACAATATGCAGAGACTTTGCAGTCAGTTAGAGTAGTATTCAAGCTGCTAGTCGGTTAATGCTCACTGGATTTTGGTGTTCTGGTGTTTTTAGTTTTTTTTGAGCAAAGGACAAAATTCTCGGGGCTACCTGAGAGATTAGCAGTGCTATTGTTTTTTACATCTTATCGATAAGCCACCCAAACAGCATGGTTCTGCAAAAATAACTGTTTGGTTGTCAATCGCATTTCTAGCATTGGGAGCATAGACTGTGAACAGGATCCGTTTATAGTAAATGTGGTTTCTTCTATTCTTATATAGATTCCCAATAATAATTCAAGTAATTGTGACTTGTTTACTTCATCATCAAGTGATTGAATGATTGAACCACTTTATTGCAAAGCGATTGTATCATATTTTCGCAGGTAGTTACCGATTTTCTGGGATCCTTTTGGAGGGCCACCAATAGCAGAACTGAAAAGGAACGCATGCCTTTGAGTGGCACATATGCCAGACTTTTGCAGGTACGTTCTTCGCTTTTTCCATCATAAATAGTTGCAACAAATGTATGTATGATGAGGTGTTTTTGGACGAAGTGGCCTTACATAGTGATTCCCACTCCATGTCAAAAAGCACTGAATATTGATTCTATTAGGTTGTTCTATTAGGTCGGTGCAAAAGTTTTGTCAGTTTTTTCAATCCATCGGCAATCACGCTAGAATGAAGATAAGCAAAGATTTCAAAAGTATCCGATGCAGAATTTCTTCCTCTTTCCAGCTATTAAACTCCTATTGTGTTTCGTTGCGAGAATGACGAGATATTTGCTGCAAACTACAACCACTCGTTTTTACCATGTCCAACTTTCGCTAATTTTCAAAAATTTTGTATGAGACATTCGAAGGAGTCCTGATAGCCAGCAGATGAGGCTAAGCCTTTGCCAACATGCAATTTTTTCCTTTTATCAGCTGCTTTTTTAGATTTTTGCTAAGTAATTTTCTAAAAGTCTTGTGTTTTGGAAAAATTGCATAACCTGTTATTGCACCAAACACTGCAAAACCTACAGAAAACTGAGGTTTCAGCACATGATTATTACTACCGCTACCATTACAAATTAAATGAGCGATTTTCGCTTCAAATTATGAAGATTTTGAAACATAGGTTACGCCTGTGCTTCTCCTGAAATTTAGAAATACTGCGATTTTTCCCCACAAATTTCTCCTGTCTCGGCAAAAAAAAGACAAGTATTAGAAAGAGGAGAAAAATCTGCATTGAATGGTGACTGAAGTGCTTGGTATTTTATGTTCTACGAGATCAAAATAGGCTGAATGTATAGTTTGGTCACTTCAAAAAATAAATTGTAGAAATTCTGAAACACAAGCTGTATGGCTACAAAAAATTGTATCTGTTGGCAACGAATTTGCTCTATCTGCGGGTTATTAGGGCTCCTCCGAAAGTCTCATACAAAAATTTTGAAAATTAGCGAAATTTGAACATGGTGAAAACGAGTGGTTGTAATTTCCAGCAAATATCTCGTCACTCTCGCAACGAAACACAATAGGAGTTTAGCAGCTGGAAAGAGGAAAAAATTCTGCATCGGATACATTTTGAAGTCTTTGTTTATCTTCATTCTAGCGTGACTGCCGATGGATTGAAAAAACTGACAAAACTTTTGCACCGACCTAATATAAGTTCGCAGCGTTTTCATTCTCATCCTCATATCTTTGAGGAGGCAGTTGATTTGCGAATGCGTATATTGATGTGAAGGGCTGATTGTGCACTTCAAAATATGTCCACTAATTCGATGGAAAGCTGATGCACTCGGATCTTGTAAAAATTTCTTCATACTAAGCGCAGGCTGCTGCGTCCCGCGCCGTAGTATGAAGGAACCCGTAGCTTTCAAAGATGGAAATCTTGAAAGAAAAAGGAGCAATTCTGACGCTTGCGCATTTCTCCTCATTTAGCGTTTTTGCACAGATTTTTTTCTCGATTATAGAATGGCGCTTGCACATCAGTTGGATTGCTACAAAAGATCAGCGGCTGAGCAGGGTGTCCCTGACCAAGACTTTTCGGGGACGGGCAGGATATCCTGCACCAAAAATTGCTGTTTAAGTAGGCCATGGTTAACCATACCGTAAGCAATCCAACTGCACCGTCTGAACCCAGGCCCTACCGCAGAAAAAGGCTAATAGACAGATCCAGTGAGTTCTTCTGCATGACGAAACATGGCGTCGTACGGCAAAAGTGTCAGAACTGTCCTGCACTATTTGACTGGAAGGTACTTTAGTACCTAACGTACACTCCAAATCTCGCGCTAACAGATTATCATTTGCTCTCAAACAAACCTCATGAATGGTGCACGTCTCGATTTCAGTAAGTAGTTTAAGTAGTTCGAGCGCTGGTTAGATGACTTTCTTGGAACCCGGCGCGCTGCCGTTTGAAAAATTGAGATTGAGAAGCTAACAAGAATATGCCAAAAGATAGTGCATTACGGGTTCCTTCTACTACACCGCAAGACGCAGTGAAAATTCACTTCACGGCAGCACACCTTCGCTGGTTACGGATGCACATCTATATTGGCGGCACGGCGTGTTCTTCGAAAGTGTTTCTTCAGCGAGCGAGCTTATATTTTCACTGCGAGTGCAGCGGCACACGCCGGGACGCGGCAGGCTGCTGCGTTCTGCTGCGTGCGCCGCAGCACGTCGCATTCCATGGCGTAGTATGAAAGAACGCAAGAACGACGGATATAATTTTGAGGTTTGAAACCCATTCAGTAACTTTGTCCGATGTCATACTTTGAGCCTGACAATTTGCAAGATATTGTTCATGTTAATATAAATTATGTCTAGATCTCAGAAGTTTGTGTATCGAGTAAAATACGACATTCACTTGTGCTCATGGTCCTAACAAAACACAATAGTACTTTTCCTTACAAAGTTTGAAATTATACAGATTGTGCTTCATCGTTATCATTAACAAGTCATTTTATGGCAGAAATTTTCGTTTAGTTGCAAAATAAAGTGACGAAAATGAGGCGCGAAGCGCGATTCAAGCATCGTATGCTTGATATGGTCATTGGAAAGAACAATCCCCTAAGGAGGAGAAAGAATATGATTGACAGGCACAATTTGAGATGTTTCAATTAGTTTGTATGGATAGTTGAAGTGATCAATTCGTTCCAGAATTCGTGATTTAATGCCAGACAAGGTCATGGATAAGAATTTATACGGACTGATGAAAGCTGTGTCCAGACACGTTAAAAACCCGAATGTACAGTTCCTATCACCGCGTATTCTTCCTCTGCTGCCTGACAAGTATCGCGAATCAGGGTGAGTGCAGTTTTTTGCTGAATAATGGTCTTAATTATGATTTCCGCTCAGAATTATTAGCAGATTTCTCCTCGAGCATGATTTCTGTTTAGAAAACTGCTATCACCAGATCTATTTCCGTTCTATAAAGACAAATCCAAGGATAGCATTTTGCCACTGCCAGAAGTTTTAAAAGATGTTGGCTTAGATTCCGGTGATCGAAAGGCTGTCATTGAGTTATTGATGGAAGTTACAGGTGTTACCATTCGAGCTTTTTATTAATTGATTGTATAATCCGCTAGTCAATTTCAGGTGTAAACGATGTCGTTGAAAAGTCGTTGCAATACGTTAGTGATCTCAAATCGTTGAAATTGGACAAAGACATAAATGAAATCACGGCTGCGATAGACGGCGTTTTCAGAAATCTTGAAAAAAGTCTGGATTTGGAACAAAAGCAAGAGCTAAAAACGCGCCACTTTGCTTTTCTCAAAAAGGAGCAATTAGAAAAGTTATTCGAAAAAGGTAAGCTTGCACCTTTGAGCATTACCCTTTGTAACTTATCCTATTCATACAGAACAGTTTCAACCATGTCAATTAGCGAATCTTTGTTATTTATAAAAAGCGGGCCAAACTGCAAAACCTGAAGGCACCGTCCACCCAAAATTTCGACCTCCGTGTTTTTGCCTTCTCACACCCCTGATTCCGAATATCAAGTCGGGCGAAAACCACAAAAACCCCAGTTTTCAGAACCCGCAGAGGATTTCTTTGGAACGGTGATTGGTTGGGCGCGCAAGGATGGGCGGGACGAACGTCACGCCCACTCAAAGGGAAGGGCTAACGTGGCGAATCTGTCATTCGAGCGATTTTCGAAGCAATTTTCTCGCTTCGGAAGCAACTTTTGCCAGCGCGAGTTCGACAAGTAAAGAGTTAGGGGACCCACTACCATTAGGCATCAAAATCTCATCGACCCCATTTTAGGTGGACGGTGCCTTTACGGTATTCAAAAATAGGTTGATGTGTGGACACAAGGTTTCCTTCATATTACGCCGCAGGATGCGGCGTGCTGCGGGCACGTCGCAAGACGCAGCAGCCTGCTGCAGCACGCGTCAGCACGCTGCAGCATACATCCATAACCGGCGAAGCTGTGCTGCCGTAAGCGGATTTCACTGCGACTGCAGCGGCGCACGCCGCAGGACGCTGTATGTTGCGCCGTGCTGCCACGCGCTACGGCAGGCTGCTGCGCCCTGCGGCGTAGGTATAAAGGAATCTAAGAGCTTAAAGGCAGCGTCCAAGCAAATCTGGACGTACGGAGTTCTGCCGTGGAAGGTAATTTTGGAGCCCTAACTAAGGCACTGCCCGGCAAAGCTCACAAATGAGATATTCGCCTCCAAACTAGACCCCGGGATCGTATTCGCATGGATTTATGGCGCAACACATCAGTTTCGCGCGAAGACCCACGCGTGTCGCGCCATGAATCCATGCGAATACGATCCCGAGGTCCAGTTTGGAGGCAAATATCTCATTTGTGAGCTCACCATTTGAGCTGCCGCTTGGGCAGTGTTTAGTAAGGGCTCCAAGATTACCCTCCAAGTGAGATCCCCATAGGCCCAGATTTGCCTGGACGCTGCTTTTAAAGATGACGTGAATGGCACTCTAGGAGTAAAGGAAAGCTTTTTTTTTTCGAGAGGATATGCTTAGTTCAAATTAAGTGTTGTGATTGCATCGCGATAAACATCATCGTTCAGTAGAAACTTAGAAGTGGTGTAGGCCTTCGCTAATTATGTACTTACCAGTTCTTAGCTAATCGACTCGGAATGAATGTCAGAGACAAGCAACCTATCGTCGAGTCATTTTCGTAACTCAATAATATGCGTACTGCACACTACACACGCTACTGACGAACTGCAAAACTAGAATCTGTTCATTTCCAGTGATTTCTCCATGCTTCCTTGTCTCTTTTGTTTTTGTTGATTATAGATTAGTCAACATACCATATTTCTACACTTTGTTAGGGAAAAGTTTCACTGAAAGGTAAAGGTGTCTCGCTTATGTCTAGTGTGCAGTCTCACACAATAAGTTACAAATGACTTGAGGTTAATTATAATGAGAAGGGCAGTCGATTACAACAAAAATGCAAATTCAACCAAACCAAGTTGTATCAACCGGTTGTATTGAACTGCGACTCTTAAAACCGCAAATGGCAAGACGATGATAGTTTTAAAAAAGAGGCGAACTTAATGGAAGCACATGGCGAATAATGGTGCCCGGTCGCATATAAACTCAAAAATCAAGAGGAAGTTTGAGAAAGTCGTGTGTTACATGGAGAATTATGCTTGTTATTCGCAGCTCTTTTATGACGACAGATGAGTAATAGGTGCTAGCGCATTTGCTTCAGGAAGTTTCTTTGCAGCTGGAGTGTGTATGGATTCACGTGCACTCGAACAAAATTCCAAAAAAAGATCATGTGACTGTATAGCACCGGTGATCTCAAGGCGGAAGATTGGCAGCATTTACTTAGTGTGTTTTTAATTGTAAGAATCTTACCGCACGCTCGTAGAAGACAAAAACTCGCTTTTATACAGGCGTTCCGAAAAGATGCAAACAGTGTCTGATCGTCAATAACTTTCTTGCGTTCGTGTCTTTTGCCGAGGTCGAGGTTTTCATTTTGTAGAGCGAAATCCAGCCTAGATTTCTAATATGGAACAAATCTCCAATCGTTCTTCGTTGCTGTAAAACTACGGTAAGAATCTCGAGGATGATAATGGGCCACTGACATCGATATTCTGCCTCAGAAAGAAAATCAAACAAGCCAGAACTCTTGCACTGGGCTAATCGAAATCGCAGTGAGAAAAATTCCAAAAATTTGGAAATTTGTGTGGCAAAGTTTTCATGCATGTGGTTTCACTACAAAACTTCTTACCAGCTCTCCGAGCTTTTTTTTCTGATGTAACAACTGTTTTTGATGGTGTAGTCACTGTTTTTCAATGTTACTAACAAACTTTAAAAAACAGTTGTTTACTCTAACCTGAAATTTAAGAAAGAAGCGTTACAGTGAAATATAGGATAAAAGACAAAGGATTCTGGGTCTTCAACACCCTTTGCGGGCATGCGCCGAACGCACACCATTTCATAGTCGAAGAGGTGAGCGTATGCGTGCAAGCCTTTTTAATAAGTTGCGGGGGATAGCCGTTGATCAAGTCAGCGATTTTATGCTTCCAGAATTACTGTACCATTCAGCGTCTTCGGAGGGTAAACGGTTTGGTCGGTTCAGGGATGAGGTCGAACCTGCGTCCGACCTGGTCATATGGCGCCTCATACTGCAACGCCGCTCGTCCCCAGTAAAGTGCAAACCTCAATGCTTATTCTACACTGGCGCTATTTGCTAAGAGTTCATATCATAATTTTACGTAATGAAGAGCGATTGGTAATTCGCTCCATATTGTAAATCTATGCTGAATCTGATTCGCTCCATACTGTGAATCTAAGCTGTTCGCTCTACAGAATGGTACCTCATGCTTGGCAACAGACGTGAAAGTAAGAGAATTATTGCAGATCAGACAGTGCTTACATCCTTTTGGAATCTACCACAATCACAGAGGGTATGGAGTAAGACTATATTTTTTTGGACACATTATCCTAGGAAAGAGAAGAAGAAATGGTGCATACTAGGACCACAATCAGTGTAAGTACTCGGTGAGAAGTGATCAAGCAAGTCTTAAGATCATGGGTGTCGCTAGCTTACGTAGACTTGAGCATTCGCAAAACGAGTGAACAGGAGGAGAAACAAAGTCTATCAAAGACAGCTTATCATAAGTATCTACAAACCGCTTGTGATATTCCAAAGTTGTTGTTAGGATGGGTGCACGCTAAAGTAAAAAAACCTTTAGCAATACCATGCCGTGTTTCCTGCTCCAAATTGCTCTAATTTTAAGGTATCTATAACTTAACTTCGCGCGATCTTCCGTTTGACCTCAATAAGTATGGCGAGATGAGTCGCGCAGAGCTGGAAGAATCCCTGAGAAATACAGTTCGTTTGCTCGCTAACGAATCCGCACCTCATGGTCGATCCAAAAGGGACGTGTCCGTTCTAAACCCTACTACATTAGCACCATTTATGTTTGCGCCGACTATTCTGACTGTAAGTCCATCGCTTTTAAAAGAGATTTTAGCGGATTTTTTTTTGTTGCAGCTAGTCGTTCTTGGGCCAGTAACCTTGTCACCATATATATTTTCTCCAAGTATCTTATCTCCAACTGTTTTGAGTCCCATAACTCTATCGCCCTATATATTTTCGCCGGGTATATTATCGCCGACTGTTCTGAGTCCGCCGGTGCTTTCCCCGCAGGTCAGTTGTTTTTGACATTCGTGAATACCTTTGAATAGTACGATATTTAGGTGGCTAACCCACTAATCTTATCGCCTTATGTGCTTGGTCCCAATGTGCTTTCACCAGCTGTGATGAACCCCTACGTGCTCACACCATATGTGTTATCACCAAATGTTCTCAATCCATACGTGTTGTCGCCTCTGGTTTTATCACCATTCGTCCTTTCTCCTGATGTTCTTTCTCCTACGGTGCTATGTGGGGGCGTGCTATCACCAAAAGCGTTCTCGCCCTCTCTTGCGTCAGACGGATGGCTGGGTGTAGACGTTCTCTCTCCGAGTTTCATGTCTTGAGACACGTGAGACAACGGTGACATTAATAAGTTGGGCGCGCATGCATAGTTGATGCATGATATTCAAATCAAATCTCACCAATTCAGTATTCCCTCTAAATAGGAGCCGTCCTTCTATTTTGTTGAGTAAAAAACCTTATTGTGGAAACTAGCCTTTTTACAAACTCAAGAGTGCCTCAGTTCTTGCTTGCTGTGCTCCTTTCTACTATTTTTGGTAGCTTCCTCAAAGCTTCTAATTCTTTTGCATACTGCTTTAGTGAATTGTTTACTTCACATTGTCTTCTCCTAACTTTGCTTATATGTTTGACTCATATTTGTTGTGAATCTTATCGTTCTTGAATCAAATTAACAATATTAGTTAGAGATTAGAATATATTAAGACGTTCTTGAAAGCGCTTCACAAGGCATCTCGCTATGTCATCCCTGTCTATAATGATGCTGTAAAAACATTAACGCTTGTCATCCTCTGGTACAGCTTAGGATGCCACTTCACAAAAGTCTTCTCTTAAATGTGGTTGTTTTATTACTGTTTTCCTCATAAATTTTAAAAACTTTCGTAATGCACATGTCCTAACTAGAACAAGAACATGTACATTGAGCATTTGTTGGAAGTCAAATGTGAGGGCTCAGCTACGTTGCATATGAAAGATATTGGAGTATTATAACTTTATGTCTATGTGGCATTTGCAAGTAACTGTAACCTCACATGTTGCCTCGGGTCTAACTGTCGAAACGCCGAGGGATATACAATTACTTTCGGAGGATTTGGGCTAGTGTTGGTGCTCGGAACGCTTAGTATTGGGGCACAATTTGCACCCACAACGAGTAACAATCTCTCTGGAGTATTTGCGCAATTTTGTTCTGCTCCACTACTACAACATCCCCCATCAATGAGTGTGACTTTTACTGCTTCGATGCAACTTTGAGCGTATTATTGCAATCCGAGACGCTCTCTGATTCTCCCCTAAAGATGTCCATCCGTACATATTCCCCCCTTACTCTTCCTCCACCCCTTCCACGCTTCTGCGGTAGCCTGCCTTAACAATCTCCCCAGAAAATGTCAATGGACCTTATTCAGATACATAGATAATACATGGAGGAAGAAAATTCTATTTACAGATTAAGCATACCCCCAATACATAGAGCCATGTACTCTGGTAACCTTCACTTTGAGGGCTATGAGGGGACACAACCTTCACCTGGAAAAAAACAGAAGTCATCCGGAGCTTCGCTCTGGATGTTATTATCCTGACTATATCGGAACGTAAGTCAATGAAGCAAATATAGGGAATAATATCTCTAGCTTATTCCAGCGAAAGCGACAATTTGCGTTTTCATAGCCTACGTTAAAAAGAAGGTTTTTGTGATATTTTTGCCAGAACTCAGGACGAAATTTCTTAGTTCACCTCCCATTTGACCAAAATAGAGTTTCAAAAGTTTAGGAAAGCTATTGGAGTTAAATAAAAACGAGGCACTGCGCTTAACCCTTGCGCAGAGAATCGCGCACGGAAGCGCTAGTATATCACGTTAATGAATGATTTTTGAAGCTTGGAACGTTGTCAGTTCTCCTCTTCGTGTCATGACGAACAGAATGATATACAATGTTGCAGGGTTTTATTGAGACGCCACGGAGATACGACCAGAGCCAAATGCCCCGTCGGCTCTGGTCTGTGTCTTCGCTGCTCGTCTGCGTCTCCGCTCGCTGCGCGCTATCTCGCCACCCCAAAGCGGGGCGCGGAGCGTTCGGCTCTGGTACCCTTTTCTTCGCTGCTTCGAACCCAAATCTTACAAGCTATATATCGTTTTGAAGCTCTTGATCTCTATTTTCACGCTGACAACGTCCCAGAACCACATTTTTGCTTCTGTTCATAATGCAGACAACCACCAGCCTTACCTCTTCGATTATGGTGGAATTTTTTGCGAAAAATCGTAAAAAGTGCGTTTTTCTTTACCTTGTTTGTTTCAGTGCTTTCGCATCGATTTTTTCAGCTTGGGCGATTGTTGTTCAGAACAATGTGCGCAACAATCCAGACAACGTCCCAGGATACAGGAACGTCAATGCGGGGGTAAGAATTTGAAGGACGCATCAAAAATCAAAACCCCGTGTTAGAATTGCTGATCCTGGAGCGATAACTTGCACTCTGAAAAGCCGCCAAATGAAAGATTTCAAACCTTATTGCAGCGTTTTTAGCCGGTTTACTGCGGTTTGTTTTGCTTTTTATATCTGTTTTACGTCATTTTCTCTTCTCTGATCTTCTTCAAACAACCTTCACTATTTATGACGTCAGATGTTCAAACAACCGTCACTTTTGGCGCCCTGTCTCTAGACTATCGAAGGTATGAGATTAAGTGATGATGCCGGTAATACCTGATCAAAAAGCTTCCAAAATTAAGTGGCCTATGTTAAGTAGACTTGGCTGTAGCGTACTTGTTTGCGAAAGATGGATGGTACACCGACTCTCAGGTTCCCACCTTCTATACGCTGAATTAACAAAATTGGAGCAAAATAACAGCCAAGGAAAATTCAGATTAACAAAGCGATTCACTTCAGTTGTTATGACGGTTTTTAATCATTTATTCTCTAGCAACACTAGAAGATTCTTCGGCGATTTATGAGTGTTTGGCATCACTTATGCATGTTCGAGTGAATGTAGTAAAAACCTATATTGTGGTTTAGAGACAACAACGCTTAAGACTATAATAATAGTATTCGTTTCGATCCCCGTTTGCGACATCATTTTTTGTGTGGGGAACTACTGCTAACACCTAGACGGGCTCAAAAAATCGAGTACGACAACTCCACCACTGGGCATGCACCGCAGGCACTGCCATAATGACGCAGACATAGCTGTGGAGGTCACGATCTTAGCACGCGAATCCGAAATCTTGGCGCGCAATACAACAACAGCGTTTTGGATTGCCGCCAAAATTCCAAATTTGAATAGAAAGGATGAGTGCATAGCCATTACTAATGAGTTGGTCGCTTATCAGAGCCTTTGTGGCTTCTGAGGTCAAGTGCTAGTCACTGAGTACTACAAAATTTGTTGGAGTTTGGTTACTGTTATACGGTCTGCTGACCAAGCAGTCATCAGCTGTTTAGATGAGCACTAGTTAATTCGGCATTTACTTTTGTAGCTCTTGGTTTTCTGACGCATTGAACGTCTTTTCTAAGTCTTGATACGGTTATTGGCAGGATAGATTACCTATGCATTTGACAATTTCAGACTCTGAAGAAGGCGATATTGCCGAAACGTCAGTCAATAAAGAAGTTACTAATTTAGGTGTGCAGCTCAAGCAGTCTCAAGAAACTAATGCTGATATTATTGATAAGTAAAGAATGTTTGCGACAGAAATGCATTTTTTTACCTCATACTTAGGGTTCCTTCGTACTACGCCGCGTACGCTGCTGCAGCGCAATGGAAATATGCTCACGGCAGCAAAGCTCCACTTTTTTTATGTATCTCCATATTTGCTGCACATTCGTGTCCCTCAATAGTGTTCCTTCACATGCATTTCTTCTTCTCTTTTGCCTTGTTTATCCTGACTATTCTTTGTCTATATCAATGATTGATGGAATGACTTAGGTTATTGTGCTCCCTCTACTTTCGAGTTTCACATTTTGTATCGTAACTGACTGCACATTGCGACATCTGGTTGTATATTGGTGGTATATGGTTGTATGGTTGTATGTTGTATCTGGTGTATATTTGTGCTGTTAACATCTCCTTACAAATACATCACTGGATGAAAAGGATTTCTATTCTTCATATTTCCATATTGCCACTGCGCTTCAGCGGCGTACGCGGCGTACGCGGCGTAGTATGAAGGAACCCTTAGAGGGGTGGAGGTACGAACACCTCAATTAGGCGTCGCTTCTGCGGCTGCTCCCCGATTACGGTACATTAAGCATCTGCATCGCATACAGATGTTTTACAATCAAAAAGTGCTTTATATGTAGAAGTGTTTTTTCATTCTACTAGAAATCAGCAGGTTTAACCCCTCGCCTGGGACGCATTCTCTTGCATAGAGAAAAAAACGCAGATAAATTATTACATTTTCTATTACTCTTTCTGAGTAGTAGAGAATGTTTGCGACTGAGAAACATATTCTATCAATTTACTGTAAAGTAATTTATTTGCTAGTCGATTCTCTTTTGACCTCCGTTCATTGTCCAACTTCCCCTCTCACTCTTACGACCACACTCCTCTCCCCCCCCATTTCGGGCGCCCCCTTACGAAACTCATTGCGACACTCGCAACATACACTTGACCTTGCTTTCATGCTACAGAAATTTATTAGTGAAACTTCTTTATTGATGCTCAACGTTCCGGTTATACCGCTTTAAGAGACCTAGAATGATGTTTGTGATCGCACACTTTCGGCCACTAAATCATTTCCATCTTCTTGATTTGCTTGTCGTTTTGGCCATAGTGTTTCAAGTTGACATCAGCTTACCGCTGCGTATAACTTATCGAACATTAGGTCGCTTGTAAATGTTGATGATGACATTAAGCGTCCGAAAATTGGGGAAGCTGGTAGTCGAAATAATCTTCTATGGCGTTATGCTATTTCGACTACCACCTACTACTACTACTTTTACTACTCATCTTTACCGTCAAGTCTTCCCTTCTGTATTTTCTGAGTTTGGCTTTGCCTTCCTTTATCAGCCAAATATCTTTGCATGTGTATAGCTAGTAGACGACAGATCCCCCTTACGTTTATGGCAGGACAAGTCTGACAATCCAACATATCAACACACATAGGGTTGAGCCTAAGTACACTGGAAAAGCGGCTTACATGACGTACGCTGCGTTCATAATGAAGCAAAGGTTAGCACTCCTCTTGTTACTTGTTTCTTGAGCAAGATGGGGAAGCATGTTTCATCACGGCGGCTCTTAATGTATTACGGTTTCGATAACTATTACATTGCTACGTCAACACATTTCGAAGTAGATGAATTCTTTAAGATTCCAATCAATAACAGAGTTCATTAGCTGGACTTGGGAAAAGGAAAACCACGTCATGATTGACTGCCGC